AACTATCGATAATGTTGCTCTAAACTGGATTTGGTATGTCCATCAACGATAATGTGATTGAGAAATGCCATATGTATTAATGTGATTCCTTGCGAAGAAAGCCATCATAAGAAGAATATTTACATTGTCGACGGATTCGTTCGTCCAAGGAGAAGTTTACAAGAGCGGCTTGCTAGGTTTTCGAGTGACGATAACCCTTTAAAAAATATTTTACAGGTTTAGGGATTTAATTAGGTGTGAAGATAGTAATTTATAATTGTTTTTTTTTTAATCTTTATCATTACTCTGGTTTAGGGCATCATATCGTTTAACCCCTTCCATTGCTCTGAAATTGGGAAACATGAATCAAGACCTCATCCTCATACTTCGATTCCAGTCAAAGCTGAAGCGAGATTGGACAACAAATTAACTTACAAGTAATACGATAGTGAGAATCGTACTCTCTCGTAGCTTGAGAACCTTTCAAATTCGAAAGAAAATGGAAGTCAACAATGTACCATCGTCGGCACCGGAATCTCCTCGATTGTCTCCTCAAGCAAATCGACGCCAAAAATCAGAAGATTTCAGAGACTCACAGCTTTCGCTCGCTTCTAAAATTGCTACAGATGTGGTTGTGGGGATCCGACGAAATCGACTACTCATCTCCCAAACCCTAGATTCTTTCTATCGAAGAAGATGGGGAAAGATACGGTTGCTTCGGCGGCAAACCAAGTTAATAAATTTACAAAAATAATCACCCGGTCTGGTTTATCAAGTTTAATAACCGGTTCACTTATCTGATTAGAAAATTCCATTTCCTTTCTATTTGGGCTTCTGGGCTGGTCCATGTCGTGGTTCTCTTATCCACTTTTTTTCTTTCTAATTGGGCTTTAAATAAACTGGCCATAAGCAATTTGTCGAAAAAAAAATAAAAATTGTTAAAAATGCTCCTTTTTCAATATCCCTTTTCAAAAATGCTCTTTTTAAAAGTCCATTTTTAAGTTTGCCCTCTTTTAATTTTTAATGACCATTTTACTTTTATTTGAAACAAAATTCGGTCCACAAAATACAAAATATTTTTTGGCGGGAAAAGTGATCCCGCAATTTTCCCGCCAAAACACTTGTAAAAACCTTGTAAAATTTTCCCGTAAAAATTATTCCGCCAAAAAATTTTCCCGCCAAAAATTTTTTTTGCGGGAAAAGTGATTCCACAATTTTTTGCCGAAATTTTTTTGGCGGGAAAAATTTACAAGGTATTTTAAAGGTTTTACGGAGTATTTACAAGTGTTTTGTAAGGTTTTACAATGTATTTTAAAAGGTTTTACAAGGTACTTATAAGGTTTTATAAGGTATTTATAACTTGTAAAACCTTATAAAAAACTTGTAAAACCTTATAACTTGTAAAACCTTATAAAATAGCTTGTAAAATCTTATAATATCTTATAAATACTTTATAAATACGTTGTAAAACCTTTTAAAATACATTGTAAAACCTTATAAATACCCTGTAAAAACCCTTTAAAATACCTTGTAAATTTTTCCCGCCAAAAATTTTCCCGCCAAAAATTTAACGCCAAAAAATTTGCGGAATCACTTTTCCCGTAAAAAAAAATTTTTGGCGGGAAAATTTTTTGGCGGGAAAAAATTTTACGGGAAAATCTTACAAGGTATTTTAAAGGTTTTACAAATTTTTACAAGTGTTTTGACGGGAAAAATTGGGGGATCACTTTTCCCGCCAAAAAATATTTTGTATTTTGTGGACCTAATTTTGTTATATTTCCTTATATATTTATGATATCTTTTATTAAAAGAAGGGTAATTTAGTCATTTTGTACATAAAAGAAGTATTTTTAAAAATGGACATCCAAAGGGGGCATTTTTGAAAAGGGGTATTGAAAAAGGAGTATTTTTGTGAGTCTCCCAAAAAAAAAATCTCTTTTTCTGCAATTTAAATAAGTTAAAACCTTAATTAAAAAAAAATGTGAAATCTGAAGCTAGGGTTTTTTTTTTGGTTTGAAGAAAATACTAATGTAATCAGTTTTTGGATCAAACTTTTAAATTCGGTGGGAATCAGAAACACTTAGGTAAGGTTTATGGGAAATGAACACCGGTGTACATCATTATAGCTGCTCGTGTAGTTGTAGTTTCACATCAAAAGTATTCTCCTAAACAAATCATAGAAACATTACATGTTTATTAAAAAATTATATTATGGTGGTTAAAACCGTGTTAACTAAAATTTATATTATTCTCAGTTTTGCTGCTTATTTCACATCATCACATTATTATTCGGTGTCTTGTTATTATTTTTGTAATTTAACTATCACCTAATGTTGTGAATAGATGTTCTCAATTAAACTATTTCTACATCATATCATCACATCACAGAGTTTTGTTACTATTTCTACATTGTCTTGTTGATGTTTATGTAATTAAACTATTACGGAATGTTGTGAATAGGTGCTTAAACATTTAAAGATGGAACTAGGGTATGGGAATGTCACGATAATAATGAAGATGTGAAAAATGGGGATAGGGGGTTTCTCTTCTTTGCTAGAGACCTTGGCAGAGACTCTATCCTTAGCGTGATCATTGAGGTGGTGGAAATGAAAGTAATTATGTATTCTGCAGTGTCGGTCGAAACATTTTAAGTGCCTTAAGCGGAAAAAACAAATTGTCAATCAAAATATATTTTTCACAATTTCTAGAAAATAATCATACCATTTATGTCAAATGTAGCTGTATAATTTAGTTGTCATGAATGAATAGATATTTGATTGCTAAAACTATATATATATATATATTTATATGTATATGTTTTTATGATTACACTTACAAATTTTGTAAGTTTTTTTTGTTTAAACCACTTCATAATCATACATATACACGTATTTCAGTAAAGAAACAAATAATATGGACTCATATGATTTCTTAGAGAATTACATGGCTAAATTCAATACTAAGATAAACTTGACAAATCTCGTACAAAATAGACAAACATTTACTTATAAAAATGTGAGAAAATATACAATATTAAGTGGAAGCCCTAATTAAGCAGCCACTTCCCTTGCTTATGTTAAGGATTTATGTGTTTATTTCTATTATGATATTATTATATGTAAACCATATTATACTTCGATAAAATCTCTGATGATGATACTGATATATGTATGTTTTTCAACATTTGACATGTCTGATGACTTTTCTCAACTACTTAGTTCAAGCCTTATGATGAGATATTGAGATCCACTACCACGTTATGTTAAGAGAGCGATGGGGTTGTCTCCTATAAAACAAGTTCGTCTAGCTTTTTTGTTATATTTGCTTTTGTTTCTCGAAGTTGTTTCTATGTTTCCGTATTTTCGATATATTGCTACTACCTATTAATTTCCAACTCTAAACAATTCTAGTTGTTAAAAGTAATTTCTCCTTGCATTCCTGCCAATTTATGATACCATTATTTCTCAATCTATTTTGAAGAAACAAGATTGATTGACTTCCCATTTTTTATTTTTATTTTCTGTTAATTTTGGGAAATAATTATGACCAAATATTTATACTAAGAGATCAATCTTGTTTCTTCAAAATACGATTCTTTTTTATACATACGATTTTTATTTGAGTACACAGATGGTGGGATATTAAAGGAGTTAATAGCGCGAAACACCTTGTTTTTCAACAAAACAGCTTTTAATACAAAATTGGAGTAATAGATTAGGAATATAAAGAATTTTAAAAAAAACAGTTTTTCGGCTTATAAAATATAGATATTTAGAAAAGCCATACAAATCGAAAAATAACATTAAAAAAAAAGTAAATTAGGGACAGTGACGCCATCTTTAAAGATTTGTTTGATCTGTGTTTGTGTTTGAGCAGAAGATGTGAATTTATTTCCTCACGTACTTTAAAAACCTCACATACTCTTCCTATTTGAACCTAAGACCAACAAAATACATTAATTTTTACGCTATTACTGATCCGTGATAAGCGTCGACGCGAAACGAATCTTTAGCTAGATCTCTTGGCCAAATAGATATCGCACATTTTAACTAATTGTGATTTTTTTTGTCGGCTAACTTTAGATGTTCAATGAGCTTATTAACACGAAAGTAAACTGGATTTGGTATGTCCATCAACGATAATGTGATTGAGAAATGCCGTATGTATTAATGTGATTCCTTGCGAAGAAAGCCATCATAAAGATATAAGAAGAAGATTTACTTTGTCGACAGATTCGTCCATGGAGAAGTTGACAAGAGCGGCTTGCTAGGTTTTCGAGTGACGATAACCCTTTAAAAAATATTTTACAGGTTTAGGGATTTAATTTGGTCTGAAGATACTAATTTATAATTGTTTATTTTATGACTTTATCATTACTCTGGTTTAGGGCATCATATCGTTTATAACTAGCTCCTTGCATTTCTCAATCACTTTTCGTTGATTCTACTCTCGATCTCTGATAACTTGGATTCGGATTCAAAGTAAGCCACTACTATGTTAAATTTGGGCTAATTCTGGGCTTCCAACTAAAAACCAATTGGCAATTAGTGGATTGGCCCTAACCCTTTATATATTATTGATTGTCCCATCAAACTTCCGATGTGGGACTTGGATTGTATCTCCAACAATCTCCCCTTCAATCCAAGGACCACATGGATCTTAACACACCTCCTCGATCCCTCACTCGGACCGATAATAAGCCCCTTTCTCGGCTCCCATTACTCGGGTTTGAGGTATGTCCGTATCCACTTTTCTAGGTCCACCAGAATTTGAATTTTGGGCTCTGATACTATGTTAAATTTGGGCTAATTCTGGGCTTCCAACTAAAAACCAATTGGCAATTAGTGGATTGGCCCTAACCCTTTATATATTATTGATTGTCCCATCAAACTTCCGATGTGGGACTTGGATTGTATCTCCAACATACTAATCTGTGATAAGCTTCGACGTAAAACGGTTCTTTAGCTAGAATCTCTTCAAATCATGAGCTCATTTTAACTAATTGTGATTTTCTTTCCGGCTAAGTTTAGATTTATTAACGATAACATGTTCAAGGAGCTTATTAACAAGAAAGTCAACTAGATTTTGTATGTCCATCAACGATAATGGGATTAAGAAATGTAATAATGATACTCTTGGGTAATAATAAAGGCGGATAATATGATTAGTGAGCTTTACTTTAAACATCGAGAAAGGTTGCATTTGTATTACAAAGTTAAAAACACCAAAAGAGCTTTGACTTTGTCCTAAGAGAGAGAGCTTTCTACTCTGCAGTCGTATTTGCCTTCTTACCTAACATAAACCAAGAAAGTTTTTACTTTGTTATCAAGAAAATCAGGAACCAAGAATAAAGAATCAAATTTATGTACCTAGGTGACGACAAGGACAGTGATGGCCGTATTTGCGACGTTCGTGGACAGTCGATATTCCACCATTAAGAAGCAGAACAGTTAGTTTGCGTCCCCCAATGTCACTCCCATTAAGTTGGGGCGCCTTCACTGCTACGTCCTCTCCACGAACTGACACTGTAGCAGAGCTGAAAATATCAACAAAGACACATAACTTTTTAGTCATTTAATGACTTGGAAAGTTGAGAAAAACGGGAGGAAGAGGCCACTCGCTAACCCATTGCCAAAAAAGACACTCGAGATCTTTCCATATGGAGAGAAAAGTTGAGTCAAATGTGTCTTGATCTCATTCTCCCTAAGGGAAGTGTCATATCCTTCAACCTTTAAAATAGCGGAACTGCAATAATTATTGGATTGCTGGAGATGAATGATACACATTATATATTAAAGATACAAAAAAAAAAAAAAAAAAAAAAAAATCAGTTTACTCGTTTGCATATGTCGGAAACGGATGAGCTTCAACAGTGACATTCCATCCTCCCACGTCACTTCCGTTAAGTTGCAACGCCTTATCTACCGCGCCTTCTCCCAGAAAATAAATATGACCACATCTGTGAAACCAAAAACAAAAACACTTTAGAGTACAATTAGCATTTAAAAAGAGCTGGCAGAGAAATAACTGGAGGAAGAAGAAGCCACGCAACTTCCAGAGAGTATGGTAATTGTAGTTTTTGGAAATATAAACATCAGTGATCTCTCCACATGAAGAGAAATGTTTTCTCAACGCTCTTATACGACATCATTACGATGAAGCCCAGTGTCATATCCCATAACCCTAATTCTCCCAACGTTGCTGCAATAATTTGATCAACGAGACAAGAACACATCTTAAACATATCAAACAAACAAACATAAAACAAATATCATATCTATTTACCAGCTTTTTGGAATGGCTGCATCGCTACCCTTCAGAGACAGTAATTTCAGCCCCTAAGGAGGTACAAAAGATCAGAAATTATACTAACTTCAAATATTTCGTTTCAAACAGAAAGGTTAAAGATTAATCCTTGTGAAGAAAGCCATCAGGATATATATATAAGTAGAAGAGTACTTACTTTGTCGATGGATTTGCCCATGGTGAAGTTGAGAAGAGCGGCTTGCTAGGTTTTCGAGAGGCAGCGATAACAAAAGATATTATTAGGGATTTAGGTCTGAATAAGGTTTTTATAATTGGCTTTTTTTTATCTCTGGTTTTAGGCATCATTTTCGTATATCAAATGAATTCTGCCTTTTTTATTCCTTTTTTAGTTGGATTGTAAATTGAAAACATTTCAAAACTTTTGCCTATAATTATCACTAGGCTACATATCCAATTCTTATGATTTCTCATCTATCAATAAAAAGTTAAAAACACAAGACAGAATAATGAAGTAGGGATTGTAACATGAACACGATAAGCTTCACCGCCGACCGTTACATGTACATTTACATTTCTATAGTAACATGTGTAAACAAATTTTATTCAAATCACCGGAAAAAAAAAAACATAGGAATGATTTTCATCAGACCGATACACACATGCGTGAACGAAGAAAACGAAACCCTAATCATCGGGCGTTTAAGCCTTTGGCCAATCATATCTTTTCGCAGGAGGCGTCCTGGGATCTTGTGTGTAATAGATCCCATCCTCTCTTGCTATCCACAAGTACGTAGGCCCCATGGTTGCTTTCCACTGAGATCTGTATGCATCAAACGCTACGTGGAGCTTAAAATCAGGTCCTTTCCACAAATTACACCAGAAAAGTGTCCTCTTCCAAACATTATCATCAAAATTGTTTTTGGTCATTTGGCCAACGCGCAAAATATGATCACCAAGGTGGTCGTCCTTAGATCTACAACGCACACCGAGGACTTTATTGTTCAGCTCATTCTTGACCAAGAGTGTACTTATTCCGATTGTATTTCCGATGCATACACTAAGAAGAATCAAGAAGATGAAGAGATTCTTCATATTGTTGATCAAATCTCTTTGGTCTATGATTTCTTTCTCCTTGATGCTTACTTATATACATCTTCTTTTCTGTTTATAGACATTGATATTTTACAACAACAAAAATAGGACAAAACGGTTACCAAACTTGTTCTTATCTTATTTTTAACGGAAAAAAATAATGTAGTCTTCTTTTAAAGTGCGTTCAAGCTGATCTTTATATAGACAACAAAAAATTAGGAAAGATATAAATGTACATTTCTGATTTGAGTTTATGCTTTTCTAATCAATTTTGAAAATTTGAATATTTTTTCCCCATATAGTCTTCATTTTCAATACATTTGTTTAATTCTTCTCTAATATTTTTATGTTTTCATAATTTTCTGATTGACTTTTTATTTTTCACTAAATTATGACCTTTCTCACACGGATTTTTTGAAAGATTTAGTAAGTTTTATTGTAATCATATATAACCACTTTGTTTAAATTTGATCGAACCAACCATGAATTTAAGACTAACAGGTTTGGATTTGGAAAATCGCAAAATATGTTTTTAAATATTCACTAAAAATAAATTAAAAAATATTTAGTCTAATGGTTGAATTGGTTATAAAAAAAGTTTCATAATCTAAAATTTAGTTTTACCTTTATAAAAAAAAACTTATTAATTAATTAAAAATAAATCAAAATACATTTTGAAAAAAATAATTTAGTGACAAACATATTGTTACTAATATGACATAAATATATAATCTAAATAATAATCCATGTTTTTAACAAATTTTGTTTTATTATAAATATTTGTATAAATTTTTCGAAAATAATATCTGAAAACAAAAATAATTAAGTAGCCACGAAGAAAAAGAACAAACTGAAGTAAAAAGAGGAAACGATAGAAGTTTCATGTTGGATAGAAGAAAGAGGAGGGAGAGGTGGTGATTAATTTTCTCGTTCGAATCTACGACGGCATAATTAAAATATAACGTATATATAATCTACATTCATATGTAATGACATGTTTTCGAGTCTCCGATATTATTATTTTACATTTTGTGTTATTAAATTTTCCTAGATATATAGTAAGTAATATTGACATCAAACCAAGAATATTAATTAAACATAAAATTAACAGCAACTGGTTATGATTGGTTTACATCCAGATATACATTAATTCAGGAGTCCTGTAGTTAAAGGACAAGTAGAGTCCTTTCGCACCGGCGTACCATGTAGCATTTGCATTATTTTTCTGAGAGGGGTTCATACTTGACTTGTAACTTACAAACGTGCGGTGATGCGCCCAATGATTTCCTTGGCGTAGATCGCATGTAAATTTCGTCTCACGGAAATAAGCATCGTTGAAACGCCAACTTAGTGGTGGGTCATTGCGATGCAAATATATGACACTCAGATCGTCGTCCTTCGAATAACAATGGACCCTCAGGGTTCCGTTTTTTGGTAACCTGTTTACTATCATTAATACGTTTCTCCCGTGCGTATCTCCAATGCAAAACACTAAAACAATGAGAACAATTGTGAGCCCTTTCATTTTTGTTTATCTGGGGATGTTAATTAGATTGTTTTTGTTTTTGTTTTTCTTTATAGAGATTGAGATTTTGATGTATTTATACAAATTTGATCAGTATATGATTTTTTGAGGTTATGCGTTAAAATCTGTTTTCTCTTTATTTTTTGAGGTTATGCGTTAAAATTAGAAATGGCTGGAGAATCGAGATGGTCATCATGTAGACATGGCTGAATTATTTAGTACTATTGCGTGGTCAATATTTTTTCAATTATATCTAGTTGCCAATTTTTGTCGAGTAATTTTCTTTAAGAAAATATTTCAACCATAAACTTAATAAATGGTTTAAAAAATTGAGAGAAAATTTTGTAAAATAAATATATGAGTACATTTTAAAATTATGGTCTAGTTTTCGTTCTTATGAATATAGTCGTTGATCAAAGTTAATTATTAAAATTTCGTAAGACAACAATATGAGTAAATATTTGCTTTTCAGTTTTAAATAAATGGTGGGAGACTTGTCTCCTCCTCTCATACCAAAAAAAAAACAATATGAGTAAATATTAAAATTTTAAAATAATGGTTAGTTCTCGTCTATTCCTAGGTCAGTATATTATAAACTTTTCTTATATAGTAAATTTCTTTTCTTAGTTGGTCAGACATTCCCTTTGTTAGCATTCTTTTCTTCAGTTTTAGTCGATGCTTTATTGAAAAATATATAGTTTGTAAAACAGTCATTGATGCCAATATAAATTTTGCCAACATGATATAGTTTGGCAAACCTATTTTAAAGAAACAATAAACATAGATAAAGGTTACATTAGAAGGGTGGGGGGGTGGGGGCACTATAGTGGCACTAGTTCACTAGGTTCGTTCCTTTCACCCAAGTACGAAACCTCTCCTTGATAAGCAGTTATATATGGTCTCTTAAGTGAGCCCCCGACATAAAGATTTAAAAGGTTACGTCGATATTGATGGAGTTTAGACATTAGTAGTAGATATTAATTCGATAAATTATGAAAAGACAGTATAAGTGGTTAGTAGCAGCCGACTTAATTTGGCCATTTGTATCTCCACTTGGTTGGTTGGTCAGCAAACACCTAAGTGAGAGCTCTCTGGAATATTCTTAAGTGATAAGAATTAAAGAAGGCGGCATTACTTACTTACTAGTAGAAAGAATGAGAACAAGTCTTCTTAGCCGACTTCTACAAACACGTGTACCAAGTCAAACCAAATGTGCCCAAACCAAACTTAGATACTAAATTCATTTCATCTTTAGTCCACACAACATTATAATTAAAGTAAAATAATACTTATAAAATTAAGTGATTATCGACTTCTTCACTCTTCTTCAACACTTTCTCATCTCTCGACACGCAACTTCCTTCCTCTTCATACTCCTCTGACTTGACTATATATAACACACTTTCATTTCTTGTTTCTTCAAATCAAATCTTTCATATACAAAAATCTTCTCAATTTAGAACTTAGTAGTCTTCTTAAACTCAAAGATAATGGCACTTGAAGCTCTTAGTTCTCCAAGATTAGCTTCTCCGATGCCGACTCTGTTTCAAGATTCAGCACTAGGGTTTCATGGGAGCAAAGGCAAACGATCTAAGCGATCAAGATCTGAATTCGACCGTCAGAGTCTAACGGAGGATGAATATATCGCTTTGTGTCTCATGTTTCTTGCTCGCGACGGAGACCGAACCCGTGACCTTGACCTGCCTTCTTCTTATTCTTCACCTCCTCTGCTTCCTCCTCTTCCCTCTCCGATCTACAAGTGTAGCGTCTGTGACAAGGCGTTTTCTTCTTACCAGGCTCTCGGTGGACACAAGGCAAGCCACCGGAAAAGCTTTTCGCTAACTCAATCAGCCGGAGGAGGAGGAGATGAGCCATCGACGTCGTCGGCGATAACCATGTCTGGTATCTCCGGTGGGGGAGGAGGAAGTGTGAAGTCGCACGTTTGCTCCATCTGTCATAAATCCTTCGCCACCGGCCAAGCTCTCGGCGGCCACAAACGGTGCCACTACGAAGGTAAAAGCGGCGGCGGCGGGAGCAGTAGCGTGTCGAATTCTGAAGGTGTAGGGTCCACAAGCCACGTCAGTAGCGGCCACCGTGGGTTTGACCTCAACATACCGCCGATACCGGAATTATCGGTGGTCAACGGAGACGAAGAGGTGATGAGTCCCATGCCGGTGAAGAAACTCCGGTTTGACTTCCCGGAGAAACCCTAAACATATACCTCTCTCTAGGAAAAACTTACAGATTCAGTTTATAGGAAATTGTTTTACTGTACATACAAATTTCGATTTTGATTGATGTTCTTCATTGAAAAATGATTCTTTGTTGTATAATAATAGAGATGTTTCTAAAAAAAAAAGTAGAACTTTTATTTAACTTCATGTTGATCACACGTATCAAAATTTGCTTGAATCCGTTGTACGTTGGCATATCGTCAAAAATGACTAATTTACGGGCCAGTTTGTTAATCCATTGGACTAGCCTACTTAGCTCGGTGGGCCGGTATCACCTAACGTATTATAGTATTATAATTTAAACCAAAAGAAAAATGAGAAAAAGAAAGAAGAGAGATAGAGAGAAAAAATGTTACACCCGAGTGTAAACTTACACTCGAGTGTGAAGAGAGAGACAATTTTTTTGTTTTTCTAATACCTATACCCCAAGACTCACATCCACCTGCTTGCCCCACTACCCGTGTTCTAAGCATTGTGGCTCGTGACCATCATCCAATAAGTAGATCCCATCTTCTCAAAACTAGAGCTTTTAATAGCAATAATTTCTCTTCTTTTTGTTTGTCATCCGAGTTAATAATATTAATCAGTCACAAAGAGAATTGAGACAAACTACCTACACTAGCTAGCACCATCTCCACATACAACCAGAAAGGCCTATACAAAAGATTAAAAGAATGAGCTCAACAAAGAAGAGCCAAAGCACCAAGTACAAACATGTATCATCCAATTCATTCAGAACAAAAGATGAATGAGTACAAACATGTTATTAGGACATAATGTCCCACATCGGAAGTTGGAAGGGATCCTAAGTAATATATAAAGGATATGAGAGAATATGAGCTTCCAACTCAAAACCAATTTCCGATGAGTGGAGTGGCCTATATTCCTTATATATTACTTAGGATCCCTTCCAACTTCCGATGTGTGATATTATGTCCTAATACATGTACCATCCAACTCATAGCAGTAATTTCTCTATAAAATGTAAAATTAACCTGATGTGGTAATTCATATTTAAAATGAGTTGTACCAAAAAGAGTTCTTAAAATATACAAAGTTTCCGGCCCGACCTGCTAGACTGTTTGATCCGACACACAAAGCAATAACAAAAAAGATAACAAAGAGATTATTTCTACTTGAGAAAAAATTTTCCTTCTTCTACTTAATTTTTGTACAAATGTTTATAGAAATCTATTCAACCTAAGTAGTTTATATATATTACAATTAGATTTTCTAATTAATGTAAATACTCTATTTAATAAACTCCCTTATATGATTAATTAATTACTAATATTAGCTTCAACAGAAAAAAAAAATTAGTACATTTTAAAGCGATAATATTAACATACATACACCGTTTAAGACCTAATCGCACTTATATAATTTATATAAAGATCACTAAATATTGAAAGCTGAAAAAAATTTACTTTTGTAGGAAATTTGGGAATCCTTGCCAACGAAATTTTCATCTACTCATATCTTTCTAATTAATTAGCTAATAACATTCGTCTACCTACTCCATGAACTTTTGCATGCACGTGTGAAAAAGTTTTTAAATTAAATGAGATTCATGAAACCTGTTTAGATGCCATTATATATCGTTGTTGCCTCCAGAGAAGATTATCTTCCAAGTCATGGTTCGAATCTTTTTTAGGAGGAGAGTTTCGCTCCATTGCGAAAATATATACACATTCACAGTAGCGTACCCATTTTTGAGAAAGAAAAGTTATAATGCGAATTGTGAACATGGATTAATCAATATACATTACCAAGAAAAAGCCCCATTATTTTTCAGTTTTCACGAGCCATTCCGCCACTTGACAAAAAGTGACCTACCTAATTACATGTGTCGAAGTTCATACATTATTATATTTGTGGATATTATAAAATTTTGGATGATTTTGATTTCGAGATTCATTTTTTTGTTAAACCTCTTGTTGCATGTCCGAAGAATGTTTTACGTGGATAGCCAGTGAAATAGAAGCTCTAAATTTTGGTTTTTAGGGGAAAAATATTGATATAAAATTCGGAAATGTTACATAACTTAATACACAAGAAAAAAGGAGTAAACTACAAAAAGAGGCTATATAATTAAGCGATGTCATTTTCACCAAAACCTTATTATATATCTACTTGATCACCCTAATCATTGTGGTTTCTTCAATTATTCTCTGTACCAATCATGATTCACATTACCAAGAAGAAGAAAAAGTTAAATAACACAAAAGATATACAAACAACAAGAGAAAAAGCGTTGAGACAGCTATTAAGACAACAAAAGTTTTTAATATATTTACAGTCCCATAAACTCACTAAATCGTATCCAAATGCATACTCTAATGACTCTCATCCTTCTTGTTCCTCTTCTTCTATTTCTCTTCCGCCACCTTTTTTCATGGCGGCGGAGGCTTCGGAAACCCTACCCTCCCGGCCCCAAAGGCTTACCCGTCATTGGAAATATTCTCATTATGAACCACTTCAACCACCGCGGCCTGGCCAAGCTCAGCCGTATCTACGGTGGGTTGCTCCACCTCCGCCTCGGCTTTTCCCACATTTTCGTCGTTTCTTCTCCTGACATCGCTCGTCAAGTCCTCCAAGTCCAAGACCACGTTTTCTCAAACCGCCCAACCACAATCGCAATCCGATACTTGACATACGGTGGATCCGATCTTGCATTCTGCAACTACGGCCCGTTTTGGCGTAGGATGAGAAAACTGTACGTCATGATGCTCTTTAGCCGTAAACGGGCCGAGTCTTGGGTCTCTGTTGATGAAGAGGTCCACAAATCGGTCCGTTTTGTGGCTTCCAAGGTCGGGAAACCATTAAACATATGTAAACTAGCATTTTCCTTATCAAGAGGCATAACGTTCCGAGCAGCTTTCGGTTCCTCCTCATCCACTTCTGATGAAAGCCGATTAGATGAGTTCCTTGAGATCATTCAAGAGTTCTCTAAGCTCTTTGGTGAGTTTAACGTAGCAGATTATGTCCCGTCGTGGCTCAGTTGGATTGACCCGCAAGGGATAAACGGGCGAGTTGAGAAAGCCCGAAAATCTCTGGACGGTTTCATTGAGTCCGTCATCGACGATCACTACTTGCACAAGAAGAAGAGAGAACATAATAACCTTGTCGAAGAGACCGATATGGTTGATCAATTACTTACGTTCTACGAAGAAGAAGTCAAAGTCAACACCTCAGACACCAAAATTAATCTCGATAACATAAAAGGCATCATCATGGTAATTAAACGTCCCCCAATATTTTCATACTTTTTTTAGAAGTGATATATTTGAGGGAACTCGGAAAAAATTGAAAACTTTTTATATGGAAAAAGGATGTGATGTTCGGAGGAACCGAGACGGTGGCATTAGCAATCGAGTGGGTCCTTACGGAGCTACTCCGGAGCCCCGAGAACATGAAACGGGTCCAGGACGAGATAGCGAGTGTGGTCGGGCTTGACCGAAGGCGCGTGGAGGACACGCATCTCGAGAAGCTCACTTTCCTGAAGTGTATCCTTAAGGAGACCCTCCGGCTTCACCCGCCGTTCCCTCTCCTGCTCCACGAGACGGTGGAGGACACCGAGGTTTCCGGTTACTTCATCCCCAAGGGATCACGTGTGATGGTCAACACCTACGCTCTAGGGCGTGATCCGGATTCTTGGTCCGACCCGGAAATTTTCAACCCGGGTAGGTTTTTGGACCCAAGTGCTCCAGACCTGAAGGGTAATAATTTCGAATTCGTTCCTTTCGGGTCGGGTCGGAGATCGTGCCCGGGTATGCAACTCGGGTTGTACGCGTTTGAGCTTGCGGTTGCTCAGCTTCTACACTGCTTCACGTGGAGTTTACCGGACGGTATGAAACCCGGTGACGTGGACACCGTTGAAGGGCCGGGTCTCACCGTTCCTAAGGCAACTCCTTTGGTGGCGGTGCCGACCACGCGCCTCCTCTGCCCCATCGTCTATTGAATCCTGAAAAGCCTCCACCTATGAAAACAAGAGTTTTCGGAATCGGAGTAATTGTAATAAGTTTTTAGAAGAAGCGTACATTGAGAAAATTCTTCTTGACGTAGTTATTTGTATGAATAAATAATCGAAACAAGAAATCAAAACCCACATTTAACGACTTAGTTTTTAATTAAAGTATACTAATTCAAGAAAAATTAGCATAAGAAAGTAACTACAAAATACAGAAGCGTTGATATAGCTTACACTATCGTTTTAAGTAGAAGAAGGCAAAGTCATACAAGAGCATGAAGTAAGCTTTTGAACAACAATTTTGCAGATTAAGAATATAAAAGAACAAGACAATGCTGGAGATTTAGCATTTTCGTGGCATCTTCACTTTAAGTGAGACTTCTCTGTATGATTGGACTTTCTCTGCGGCATGTCTCGAAGGTCTTCCCAAAGATGATCTTCTTGTCATCCCTTCGTTTTCATCAGCCTTAGGCTTATCCTTCGATTCTGCTTCGTGACCACACTCTTGAACTATGTTGTTGCCCAAAGATGGGTCTGTCGCTATTTCTTCTATGGCTTCATCGGTTTGAGATTTACCCTTAGTTGACTGTCTTCTCGTTGAGACACTGGCAAGTACACAGAGATAACAGTCACATTACATAACTAAGAGTCCCATATTCATCAGCGGAAATGCACCGTCACTAACAAACCTGTGTTTCCGGTTTGTCTCTTTTGTGTCATGTCTGCTTTCAGATGGCTCTACAGCTTCAGACCTTGATCCAGCAGATTCTTCGATTACTATGCTTCTGAAGATATTATCCAGGAGGGAAATCACAAGTGGCATTAGCTAAACTCAATTTTTGTGTTAATAATCACTGGGATTGAGAAATTTTTTAAAAGATATCTTTCAACAAACCCTGCAACATCAGCATTCGAGGTTTCAGTCGCATGCGGTTCTTGTATATCAAACCTTGCGGACAATCTTGAAGAGACTCTGCACAGTTATACAAGAAATTAGTGACCTCTAACGCATTTGTAGTAACATCTGTTAAAAGAATAATACTTGTAAATATGTCGTAATTCAGGCCTCTTACAAACCTTCTCCTCTTGATTGTCTCTCTAACTTCGTCTCCCTCACGGAAGCTTTTACATGGTTCAACTTCTTCAGGCCTTAACCGTGCAGACCGTCTTTTCAAAGAGAGCCTGCTCGAAACGGAGAAAGTGTCATTGCAATACGCTATTGTCCATTCAGATTTTGCAACAACGTCAGTAATTAAAGGGGAAAGAGGAAAAAGAAAACACTAACAAACCTTTGGGTTTCTTTACTTTCTTTGGCATCATCCATCACAAGCAATTTTTCCGTTTGTTCAGTTTCTTGAACATCAAACCTGGTAGATTGCCTTCGTGTACATTGCCTACAACGAAACAACCAAAAACAAAAAAAAAAGAATAAAAGCACAAATCAGATATGCTTATATTCTCACTGCTTTCACGTAGACATGTATATATGTAAATCTTGGACTGAATATAAGAACCTCTTGCGATGCACACTGTCTTTTAACGGGTTTGCTGCATCAGGAACAAACTTCTTGTTGACCACATTGTCAACCCCCTTTTCAATGTCATCTTTAGTCTGACAGGTCTCTTCGGGGATACCAGTAGTATCTATTACTCCAGAAACTCTTCTACAAAAGATACAATAACAATTCAGGTTTACATGACTGCCAAAAGCTTCCACAGTCAACATGGATAAAACATTAAGTAGATTAGGACCTTTTACTGTTAGCTTTTTTGTTAGATTCAGTCACGTGTATTGGCTTGACGTCCGCACTTACTGAAGCTGAAGATGAAACAATATAGAGTAAGGATGCGAAGCATCTCTAGGATCAATAATGAAATTCAGCAAAACAGTTTACGTTTTATCCTTGGTGTTCGCTTTCTCTTGGTATCTTTATGTTTCATGTCATGCACCTGAAAGGATTTGCAATCACCATCAGAAGCGTTTGCTGAAACCTTCAAGTCAACAACCAAGCCAAATAGTGTGAAAACAATGTAGAAAAGGTGATAATTTCCTATTCTGAGAATGCCACCAAGGATAACTCAAGTAAACACCTTGTCTTTCGATTCATGATGTGTACATAGAAGTGCTTGCTCCTGGACAATAACAAATTCTCAAGTTTTAAACTTTTTCGTTGGTAACTATAGTCAATAGAAAATATATAGACCAAGGGAATAACTTACCTCAAGCTGTTTCTTGACCTTAAGTAATGCATTCTTGCAGCCAAGTTCATGCTGGAATTCCTTGAGCTGAGAAAAATTACATACAATGTCAATTGATTGAAGAACTTGTAATATAATGAATCAAGAAAAGCCTCAGTTTGAGAGAATTCAGTTCTAGAAAAGCTTACTCTATCTCTATTTGTATTGAGTTCCTGGCAGGAAAAACATGAAAAAGAACAATGAAGCCATACTTTAGTCATATAGTTTCAAATAATCTCGCAATCATCCAAAATCAAAACATAGAAAGATGGGACACACCGCTAACATCTGACTGTTTGCCTGCGCAAGCTGCAAATTCTTTTCCTGCACACTCCGTAAGTTTATCCTCAGTTTCTGAATCTCAATACCGCTCAACTCGACGAGTTTACTGTATTCACAAAATAAAACACAAAACAAAGATTACCAACAAAAATAACGTTCATGAAACTCAAAAGCCAACATATTCTAACGAAAACAAGATATATACTTTCGGTGTGCTAGGGCTTTCATCAGTGTCATGTTTTCCTGCAGAATCAAATCAAATACAACAATCGATTCAGTAAAAAATACGGTAAGCCACGATTCAACAAGATTAAGGTGAAAAGAAATGCCTTTTGAAGCTTTGCAGCAAATTCCTGAGAAGAGAATAACATATTTTCTTTCTGCTGCGTCTCATCTCTGTCCATTTGTTTTACATTATCCTGCAAGTTGCTTTCGATTAGCAACAACGGCAGGGAATGGAAAGGATTGTTGGTTAAGGTTAGAAAATTGCTCACCTTTTGAGAACCTAAAACCCTATTAGAGTAGTCAAGGCTCATTTCAGTTAGCACCATCCTTTGATTGGGGACTCCTTCCCTTGCTCTGAAAAATTGGGAAACATGAATCAAGACCTCACTCTCATACTTCGATTCCAGTCAAAGCTGAACAATTTGAAGCGCAATTGGAAAACGATTTTAACTTACAAGTAACACGATAGTGAGAATCGTACTTAACAATGTACCATCGTCGTCACCGGAATCTCTTCGATTGTCTCCTCAAGCAAATCGACGCCACTAAAACCAGAAGATTTCAGAGGCTCACGCAGATGTGGTGCTGGGGATCGGACGAAATCGACTGCTCATCTCCCAAACCCTAGATTCTCTCTATCGAAGAAGACGGGGAAAGATACGGTTGGTTCGGCGGCAAACCAAGTTAACAAATTTACAAAAGAATTCACCCGGTCTGGTTTATCAAGTTTAATAACCGGTTCACTTATCTGGTTAGAAACTTCAATTTCCTTCTATTTGGGCTTTTGAGCTGGTTCAAGTCGTGTTTCACTGGGCTCAAAATAAACTGGTCATCAAGCATTTATTAAATAATTTTTCTTCTTTTTTTTTCTGCAATTTAAATAAAAATGTAGTTGTAGTTTCACGTCAAAGGTATTCTCCTAAACAAATTATAGAAACATTACATATTTATTAAAATTTTATATTATGTTGCCTAAAAGGCTAAAACCATGTTAATTAAAATTCATTAACTTTGTCAAGCTGGCCTAGAATCTCACCAAAAGAAATGTCAAGTTGCACCGATCTCTTATATTTAGCCGATTTTATTGAATTGATGGTACATTATTTCCTTTGTATTTCTTTCTTATATTCTATCACTTTCCTAGGATTGTTCTTATTTTATTGTACACGGCGAAGTTGTTGGTGCCGCCACTTTGTCAATTATAATTAGGCTGATTAAATTAGCAAACATATATGACTGGCTTATCGAAATTCAGAGAACTCAATTGATTCGATCTCTTTAGTGAAGATACAATTGATGAAAAATAACTGCAACTAAACAACCGATTAATAGACAAAGATAAGTGAAGACCATTATGGGTTAGGTAAAATTATTATCTCTAGGTCAAATTCTACTGATTATTCTTCTTCTTTTTTTCATCATTCACTTAACAGAATTCAAAACAATAATAATTGAGGAGCCTGCTACAAACCCCTAAACATTCGGTAATATTAGATTCCCATCGGCGAGATTACGAATACAAGAAACTTTCTATATGTGAGAAACTTTCCATAATTAGAAGGAAGTGTATATGGAAATTCAAATATGTGATAAATCTTCACGAACGAGTCCTTTTGTGTGTTAACAAAATCTTTTTGAGGCTTTGCATTGTCCTGTCAAAATCGAACCAACAAATCTTCCACATCTCAATAAAAGGGTTCTTGCGTTGCATTCGAGTTTTTTCATCGAGGTAAGTATTGTTTTCTTATACGCATGTTTATAGCGCAAACTTCATTCCTTGAACAACAAGCATATATGTGTATCCCGTTATTAATGACATAGAAAGGCTGCTAAATACATAGAAAGAGTATTGCTTTAGAGAATGGGATATGTGGATGATTGGGTAATTCAAGTAAACTGAGTCACTCTTACAAAAGTAAGAATCAGATTGGAGAAAGGAGAGAAAAATAGTTTTGATTAAGCACTTTAAGGATTCTCTGACCCCTTTCACACACTGTCTCTTTCTCTCTATATTTCTTTTCTTCTACTTGAAACAAACTAGAGAGATTAGAGAGGAGATAGGAAGGAAAACACAAATGAAATCTTTTGACCCTTGTTTATTATATATTCAAGTTGCACAATTCCCCATAAACCCATATTTAAGAAACTTCAGTTTCTAATTCTGCTGGTCTTTTCAGAAGAAGAGCTAATAGGAGAGAGAGGTTTATAATGGTGGCTCACGAGAGGATCCATAATCTTCAAAAACCAACGTGCATTTGCATTATCTGGTTTTGCCTCTTGGTTTCTCTCTCTCACCATGGAAGAGCATCTTCATCATCATTATCATCATCATCATCTATCTTCAATCTTTCTCTCCCACACCAACATCCATTCCCTGAACATGTTGTTCTTAATGTTCAAAGGTATAACTTTTCTCTTACATGTTCTTTGGTTTCATTTATGGGTTTGATTCGTTTTCATGTTTTATCTTCTGGGTTTTTCTCATTCTCAAGTAATCCAACGTAAATTTGAAAAAAGCTTGAATCTTTAAAACCTCTGTTTTTTTTTTCTAGTAATGGCATTATCAGAAACAGAGCAACCTCCTCTGTTTCTTTCCCAACATTATAACATGCTCTGTTTCTCAATGCAGAAAACTCAACGACTCTCTCTCAAGAAGACAACTTCTCACTTACCAACAAGACGACGGCACGACGGCGTCGTCACCAATACCTTCTTGCATCACCGGAAACCCAATCGACGATTGTTGGCGCTGCGACCCAAACTGGTCGGAAAATCGCCAAAGACTAGCCGATTGCTCAATTGGTTTCGGACAAGGAACACTCGGAGGAAAAGGCGGTCGCTTTTACCTCGTCACCGATTCCTCCGACAACGACGCGGCGTATCCAATTCCCGGAACACTTCGACACGCCGTGATTCAACCGGAACCACTCTGGATCGTCTTCTCCAGCGACATGGGAATCAAACTCAAACACGAGCTCATCATCGGAAGCTACAAAACAATCGATGGAAGAGGCACGAATATCCAAATCACCGGCCATGGTTGCCTCACGATCCAGCAGGTGAGCCATGTCATCATCCACAACGTCCACATTCACCACTGTAAACCCTCCGGCAACACTTTGGTCGCTTCGTCGCCTACACACGTCGGATTCCGAGGAGTCTCCGACGGAGACGGAATCTCAGTCTCAGCTTCGCATCACATTTGGGTCGATCACTGTTCTCTCGGTTACTGTGCTGACGGACTCATTGACGTCATCCTCGCTTCCACCGCCGTCACAATTTCCAACAACTATTTCTCTCATCACGACGAAGTTATGCTCTTAGGTCACGACGACCGGTAAATATGTCCACCTGTTTCCGTAAAAAGCCCCTTCATTTCACTAATTTTCAAATTAATGAGTTAAAACTTTTCGGATTTATCAATTTAACCCTGTGGCTTATGATCATGGCATTGTATTTAAAGGTATACGGCTGACAAGGGGATGCAAGTAACAATTGCATTCAACCATTTCGGAGAAGGGCTTGTGCAGAGGATGCCGCGGTGTAGGCACGGTTATATCCACGTGGTGAACAACGACTTCACGGCATGGGAAATGTATGCAATCGGCGGAAGTGCTAGCCCTACAATTAATAGTCAGGGTAACCGTTACACCGCACCTATTGATCCCAACGCCAAAGAGGTATGTATATATTCTACTTACCCATCTATTATTATATTTCAAATCGATTTTACAAGAAATTTACATAACCAAACTTACAATAACAATGTTTTTTGAATGTTTTCTCCTTTAACGAAAACATGGTTTTGAATTCAATATTTTTTTAAAAATTAGTATGGGAAAGTTTAAAGCTCTCTTCAAAAATTGGATAAGTATTTGTCATGCAATATTGGGCCACTTGCGCGTTAACCCCACGCGCCGGCTGAGTCTTATTTGCCGGTTACATTATTTTGTCGTCATGACGTTGACACTTGACACAGTCACATCCTCCAAATCGAATGAAATGAGAAACATTTTGGTGTGTCTTTGACGTTGACACTTCGGTCATTTGGTGTCGCGTGATTCTCACGCGCTGTGTTATTTTGTGAAGGTGACGAAGCGCGTGGACTCAAACGAGAAACATTGGTCGGGATGGAACTGGAGAACGGAAGGTGACGTTATGGTTAACGGAGCGTTTTTCGTGCCGTCAGGTGACGGAGTGAGCCCAGCGTACGCCAGAGCCACCAGTGTTCAGCCTAAAGCCGCCGCTATCATTGACCAGCTCACGGTCAACGCCGGCGTCTTCGGCGATCCCAGGTATTATAATTATACTATTATTGACTCCGTTGCTTCCTCCACCAAAACTAGCATCTACTTTATTTCGGTTTTTGCCCCTATTCTTTATTCGATTCTTTTAGTTATTTCTAACACTATTTATTGAGTTTTTTCTTCGATAATACCTTTTTACAAACATATATAACTTATTATTTCATTATTTGTGAGAATTTCGATTTAACATTTACATTGGTACTATTAATTTACAAAAATTATTGCCTAAAACTAATTTTGGTTTGTCTTTTGTGATATTTCTTTACTCTTGCTTTACCTAATCGACTTTTCTCAAAATTTGAAGATTATGTTTCTTCACTTAAATTAATCGCCTTTTTACAAATAGATAATTATTTTGTTCGAGTAAATATTTTATTCCGGAATTATATATTCGGACGTAAAGGGTAATACATTTATTTTCAAATTTTCAAGAAATAGAAACATGATATTTGTATATACATGTCCTGAATGTTTCGGATATTTAGTGAGTTGCACACTAAAGTGTTAAGATAATTACAATATGGCAACAAAGAAAAAAAAAAGACGTTAACATGAACTGGAACATGCATAAAGCCGTTCTCTCTTTTTTTTTTTTTTTTCATGATCAGAAACTTTTCTCTTTTTCCTTATTCATATTTATCTCCCACGTGCGAAGCGTGTGGATCGGAGATCTAAACTTCTAAAAGTTGAAAAAAACCCAAAAGCCTTTCTATAGTGTCTATATGCTTTTCCTGATGCTTTATCGTATTTCCTCTTCTACATGCAAATAAAAATGAAAGCTATTAAAAGATATTCATTCCTTTGTTACCATTTCTTCACCAAATTAGGGTTTAGTGGTTTTCTTTGTTGGACGATATGGAATATCTTTAAATCCCAACAACAATAAAAAGATTCATGTCCTTATTAGCAAGTTCTTCACCAATTTAAGGTTTAGTGGTTCATTCTTTCGCAACTTGTTATATCTCTAAACCCCAGCAAATAATATTAATTTCTTGTAAAATAGTTCTTCACGCATTTAAGGTGTGAAGACACATTTAGGGTTTGATTATCGGATCAAACGGACCAATAAAAATTGCTTTGATAAATAGATGGTGTTTAGATTATATATATATAATGGGTTCGTATTTTTAATATATTCCTTTACTACTGAATCATCTGCTTTCCAGCAAAAAACAATACCTAGTGGGACCTTTTCGAAGACTACATATTATACAGATTCGATCTACTTATTAGATGTGGAATAAACAGTCATATATATTTGTGTGTATATGCGTCTCCGTGACCTACTTTTTTTTTTTTTTTTTTCCGTGACCTACTTGGTGTTGCATACTTGCATTTATCTTTTTTCAAATATGAATTGGTTAGAATTTAACATTTATTTGACCCTCTTTTGCAAATGTAAAGTATCCTTAGAAGGATGGAGGATTCTCTTAGCCGTCTTGCTTTAAAAAGTTCGATATTCTTTTGTCAAAATACTTTAGTTTGCTACCAGCTATCTAGTTAACCAATACCAGTTTGCTGGATAGTTTATAGGCGGCTAACTTAGGGAAATTAGATTAGTTCTTGTACCAGAAAGCTAGTTTGGTATTTTCAGTTGTCACAATTTTTTTTTTTTTAAGTATGAATTTCAAACATATTAACTCAAAACCTTAGGACGTAAAGTCATAAATTCTAACATGTGAAGAAAAAAAAATGTTAAGGATGCATGTGATGGAGCAACTTGTTTATCGTCTTTACTTCCACTTTTTGAACTTTTACATTGATTCGCCCATTTAATCAAAGACTAATGTCACTGTTATAGTATCTTTTGACAAAACATACTCGCAATGAATTATTGTTATTATAGTAGTATATATTATTATGATGATTATAGTTGTTGACTTGTTGATAATATGGTTTGGTGGTGTAGTGGGAGAAACGGCCAAGGAGGAAGTTTTCCCGGAATAACGGACGGTGGTGGGACCATCACACGCGGTTACAGTAAAAGTGGACCCGGCGGCAGCAGCGGCGATAGCGATGATGGCCTTTTCACAGTGATATTCGGTAACAATAGCGGAGCCGTGGCTCTAAGGCCGGGACAAGTCTGGTCGATTCTATTGATCATTATCATTTTGTTTTGGTATATTCCACACCATACGAGATGATGATTTCATTATTGGTTAGAGGGGTCATTATTTATTTCTGGTTACAAAAAAAAACGAATATACGTATTTATATACAAATATATAGGTACACAGCACTTGCAAGTTGTAAAATATGGGAAATGTATAAAATATTTTTATTCTTGTTTGATGCCTAAACTTTTTTGGCCCAATATTGGAGCATATCAATTGGCTGGAGGAATCTTCATATTGTTTGGATTTAAAGGGACTGAGATAAAGTAGAGGTATATGAAAGACTACTAAATTAGTTAACTATTATCATTGTTCTAATTGTTGTTCTAATTTCTACAACTATTTTCGTAATTTAGAAAATGGGACTGAGTTTGATCGGAGTGATGACCAACTTAAGTTACGCACAAGTCAACTTCAAGAAGCTCAGCTTCCTTAAATATATTTTGTCATGTTTTAATTATGCACAATAATAGTGCTGTTTCAATTCGACTTTGTCCATGTAGTTTAAGTGGTGTTGCGTCACTAGTAGTAAGCGTTAATCAAAGATAGAAAAGTGGTGAAAATAGAAAAAAAACTGAATAATGCCAAAAGGTATAATAAACAGCTACAAAAAATGGTCCTCGATCAGAGCCTTAGTCACGACATAAACTAACCGAACCATGAGGGTCCAAAACAAAGAAAGTCCAGAGACTAAAGAAAGACACACCTCATGACTTTCAACTAGAGTTTAGAGTTGAGACATAGATAGAGAGTGAGAGTTTTACTTACAAGTCAGGATTTCTTTTTACCATCCAGTTTTTTTGTCACCGGTTCCCCACGCTGCCGAGCCACTTGGTGAAGGCACTTCTGCATTTGTGTTGCCGCCCCATGCATTATCAGCTTCTCCACTCGTTCCGACATCATTGTTTGGCTTTTTGTTCCAAGTGTCATTGTTGTTATCGGTATTCGCCTGATCGTTACTGGTCCCCCAACAAGCTGATTTGCTTTCGTCTCCCGGTTTATCATTGGTTTCTCTTTTTGAGTTAGTATCCCAGCTAGGCCAGTTTCCAGCACCACCACCAGAGGACGAACCAGATGGCTTGCTATTGTTTGAATTCTCTCCCCACCCTTTTTTCCAGTCTGATCCACCACTTTGGTCGCTCTTCCAAGTGTTTTCTTGATTGTCTGTTTTCCAGCTAGATGATTGATCACCATCAAACGACCTTCCTCCTCTAGCTGATTGGTTTCTGCCTCCACGGAAACCTCCTCGGAATCCCCCTCCTCCCCTACTTCCACCAAACCCACGACCACCACCACTCTGTTCATTCCAAGGTTTAGAACCACCATCACCCTGCTTGCCCCAACTCGATCCACCACCACCACCATCGTTCTGCTTACCCCACGCAGAACCACCATCGTTCTGCTTACCCCACGCAGAACCACTGCCACCTTCAACATCCGGTTTACCCCAGCTTGAACCACCCCCACCACCATCTTGCTTTCCCCAACTAGATCCTCCACCAGAGTCATTCTGCTTCCCCCAGCTCGATGATCCACCACTAGTATCATTCTGCTTACCCCAGGCAGAACCACTGCCACCACCACCATCTTGTTTGCCCCAGCTTGAACCACCCCCACCACCGTCTTGCTTGTCCCAGCTAGATCCCCCACCAGCATCACTCTGCTTGCCCCAGCTTGATCCACCACTAGCATTGTTCTGCTTACCCCAACCAGAACCACTACTACCACCACCATCCTGTTTACCCCAGCTCGAACCATCCCCACCAGTGTCTTGCTTGCCCCAGCTAGATCCCCCACCAGCATTATTCTGCTTGCCCCAGCTCGATCCACTACCACTAGCATCGTTCTGTTTACCCCAGCTTGAACCACCACCACCACTGTCTTGCTTTCCCCAGCCAGATCCACCACCAGTATCATTCTCTTTACCCCAGCTTGAACCGCCCCCATCACTATCTTGCTGGCCCCAGCTAGATCCGCCACTTGGTTTATTCCATGGAGCCAGATCCTACAACCATTGAAATTTACAATATGAGACTTCAACATAGCCTACAAAAACAAAATAAGAAAGTTTCTTCTCAAACTAACCTCAGAATTACTGAAGGAGCTTCCCCTCCCAAACTGATCCCTGCCACCTCGACGACCTCCTCCTCTTCTCCCACCAAACCCACGTCCTCCCATATCAAATGTTTGTTCTGAGTACCCTCCATCATCCTTCTTACCCCACGATGATCCTCCATCATCCTTTTTGCCCCAAGAAGATCCTCCATCATCCTTTTTACCCCACAACGATCCCCCATCGTCCTTTTTGCCCCAAGAATATCCTCCATCGTCCTTTTTGCCCCAAGAAGATCCTCCATCGTCCTTCTTACCCCACGATGATCCTCCATCATCCTTTTGACCGTCATCTTTCTTACCCCACGATGATACTCCGTCATCCTTATTACCCCACGAGCCTCCGTCATCCTTTTTACCCCACGATGCCACTCCCTCTTGCTTATCCTGTTTACCCCATGAAGAGCCACCATCTGGCTTACCCCAGCCAGGAACACCCTTACTATTGGCATTGGAATCTTCTGCTGACTTGTTCCAACCAGAAGAACCATCTTTTTTCTCTCCTGAACCAAAACCTCCACCTTGATTACCCCATGCAGATCCTCCCTTGCTCCCATCAGAGCCTTTCTCCTGTTGTCCCCAGGAAACTCCATCTTTGTTACTTGCGCTGGAATTTCCATCTTTGTTGGCCCAACTAGATTCTCCATCTCCCGTTCCCAAACCAGATTCAGATCCCCCTTTCTTACCCCAAGACGATTCTTCTTTCTTCTGACTCGATTCAGAAGCTTCACATAGTTTACCCCATACTGAGTCCTCATCTTGCTTATTACCACCAGAGCTTCCACCATGCATACCCCAGGAACCTGAATCTGCAACATTGGAAGTAGAAGCTCCTTGTTTTCCCCACGAAGAAGCTTCAACATTTGAAGCACTTGTATCTCCCCACCCACTAACAGTGCCAGCTTCAGAAGCAGGTGTTTTACCCCAGGAATCCCAACCACCAGGTTGATCACAAGCCGAGGCAGGTTTGTTCTCAGCTGCTGCATTGGCCCATGTTGAAGTATTATCATCGGCAACTGTCGGCTGCTGAGACTGCAGAGTAAGAAACCTTGTGACATTAAGAATTCTGCGAGTTCCTTGAGCCCTTTGAAGCTAAAAAGAGGTGTAAATATAAAAGTAACAACATAAAAATATTAAGTTCAAGACTTACCCAGACGTCAGACGTAGGCTTACTGCCCCATGGGTTCCTGTAAAGAGGATATGAGATCAAAATTTTGTAAGAGCGATTTAGGCAACAAATCAGCTCAGGAGAAATTCGTATTGTTATTAACACACTTCTCAGTTCTCACGGTACAGTTAAACCATGATACATTCAACATTGAGACTCTCCTGCCTCAAATCTATATACCAAGTGACAAAAACCAGCAAAAAAAAACAAAACCAAACCGCAGAAGGAAGCAACACAAAGATCAGTTGAAGAAAGCTTATCACCCCTATAATTTGTTTACATCCCAGTAATTATATTTGAAGGAACGAGATCTAAGTTCGAGGAATATCCAATTATATCCAAGGAAACCATATTTACTTTTGGCTACATAATTGGGAAAATAGACTTACGAATCAGTAGAAGGGCCTCCTATATTCCAGTTACCACCCTCACCTGACGTGCCTGCTCCTTTCGCCCAGTCTACCATACAAGAAAGGAGAATAGTTACAAGGAAATGGGATAGATGACTAGCAATGTTCAAATGATTCAGAGCATTTAAGAACAAAGCAGGTATGCTATACGTAATTGCAACCAAATTGAAAAGAATTCTGAATATGCACAAGAAACACCAACCTCCAGTGCTGCTTTCTGTTCCAAGCATGTCAAAAGGTTGAAAGGAACCGATGCCCGCATCCCCACTTTTATAACAAACAGACAGCGTGTAAGAGAAGTTGGCATTTGACAGAAACGACAATGAATGATACAGATGCATGGACAAAGATAAGAGTCCGAGCAAATAATTTAAAGAGATTCATGTGAGCTTACCTTGTACTTAGCGCAGTGTTTCTGTCGCGAACCTCAACTAGATGCTCACTTTTAACTGAAGTGTATCACTGAAAATATTCAGAAGCACAACAGAACAGTATTATATCAAATGAGTAAACGCATGAAAACAAACCTGTGAAAACTTTATGCTGGGAATCAAGCTTGACTGTAACATCAGAATAGCGTAAAGCTATTACACGGCAGAGATACCCCTTCAATGGACCTACCCGTATCCTCAGCTTTTGGCCTATAGAATACGTGCTACCTCTGTCTCCTTGGTTGGCTGCATTTGATTATCATTTGTGAGAAGCCTAAGGTATTAAAAAGAAGCCAGATTATAATAACCCTCCATACTTACAATTATTGTATCTTTCCCTGGGCTGCCACTCTTTTTCAGGAGATAGCGGCGATTTTGGGGAGGATACAGAATCTCCAAAAGCTGAAGCATCAAATCCACCAGTCTGAGAAAAACAGAATGCTATCAGAACACGAAGATCTTACAATTGTATCAAAAGATAGCTGCAGAGACTGGGCTAGTTTACCTTCTCATTGGAGTCTTCAGTAAAGAGTTTAACTTTCTCACATGAGTGTGATTTGCAGCAGAAATATCCACCATTTTCTTCCTCGCTCTCATCATAAATAAATATGATCCCTCTGTATACTTGCCTTACAACTCCTTGTTTACCCTAAATTTTGTAAATTATGCATGAAAAGTAATAAGTTTTTACACAAAATTGTTCACCTAATTATGTGAAAGCAAAGTGTAACAGAAGCAAACAAGAATAAGAAATTTAAAAGCACATCCTCGGATGGGCCTTTGGAATCTTCACAACATCATTAATTGATATTTGTTTGTTATTCAGATCCAAGGCAGTAAATTTTGAATCAAAAGGTCCATTCTGCATTTCCTTTTTTCCAACAGTGACTACAACAGGTCCATCTAAACCTTCTTTCAGAACCTGAAATATTTTGCAATCATCAGAGACAGGCCACATGGTATTATAAGATGGTGAATAACTACATACCTTGTAACCGTCACCTTTGTCATCCACGCCCACAATCAGACCGAAGTCTTTTCGACTACAAAGGGAAAGATATGAAGTGCTTAACATATGAAATTACAACAAAGACTTGCAAGAAAGTAC